TCCCAACATCAAAGATTTGATGTCCTTGAATACCTGTGCTTCAGGCTGCTTACACTGAGCCACACGCATACCCCCTCAGAAGTTATGGAACTCTTCCTGTTCGAAATCAGAAGAAAGAAAATCATGAGCAAGGCCACACTCAAAGTCAAAGCAAGAAAGAAACTCTTCCGAGTCTCTATGGGAGACGGCTTCACGTTGCAGATCCTGCAATAACTTTCCCAAACTATACAGGGCGACCTTCGATGAAACATCACTTTGTTCATGCTCGCGACTCAGATCGAACTCTTGCGAAAGCTGGAGTTCCCCCGGCTTTTAGAAGAAAGCCCCGAGTCAGTGTATCAGTCCGCTTCAGGCGCTGGGGTCTCTTGAAAGCCACGGACCCCAAAATCTTCCATGAACTCAAAGCCGTCAAGCCCTCCTTCTCATAGGAGACACTGTTGAGGTTGACATTAGCCCTCGGAGTGAAATCCCGGATCGCAGCACGCACTACTGACGGGAGGTCATCTCCGTAGAATGCATCAGCATCATCTGACTCCACCCCAGAGAACAAGGACAAGCAGTCACCACAGTCCAGGAACTTGAAGTGTCAATTGCATAGTAGCTCCTAGGTTTGTTCTCTCCGTTCAGATGAACATGCACTGATCAAAGTCGTGGCTTCAAACGACTCTTGTCCCTGGCAAGCATCACGTTGAAATTCCTCGGACCCTTTTGCAGACCAAGCAGATCAAGTGACTCTTGGCTTTGACCCCCATATCCCAAGGACTCCCCTTCGTCAAAGACATCCAGGCCAACATTTTCATGGATCACCCTTGCCACAAAGATGCGCATGCTCAAGGAGCAAGCAAAACAAGGTCACACGGGCTTTGAAACCAGGCATCTCATTCTTGGGCCCAGTGGCCGGCTGCTCCTCCAAACAAGATGACTTTTCTGTGGCCTGCTCGTCGCCCACGGGGCTCCACGGCGACCGACGCCACAGCCAGGAGGTAAGCAACACACCGCTGTCAGTGCATTCGGTCACTTGTGGAGTCCCAGACCCAACACTGAAAACATCTGAAAACGGTAACCCTTTCGCAGAGCACTTGGCAATAGGAAGGTTGCATGGAACAACCAAGAAAGATGTTTCTTGCAGAATGGCCACACAAAGGTAGGAGCACTACCAAAGGACAAACGAGGTTTGATTCAATCACGAAACGTGATCTTACCTGCGCTCTAGCCAAGAAAGGGTACATAGAGTAGCGAGATTGGATGCAACCACAAAACAAAATGCTACCACGCAAAGGAAATGAACGCCAAAAAGGAGGGAGGCCGGATGCAACGACCAGGCATGATGTGCTTAGTACCATGACCATGCAGAGGCATGCGCTAACAAAGGAGTTGGGAGCTTCAGAACAACCATCGAGCCGAATGTCATTCGTACCATGCCCATGCCTGCGTAGGTTTGGCAACGCTACACAATTGGCGAGGTCCCGATGAAACAAGAAATTGCTTGTATCAAGGCCAGGCAAAGGTATTGAATAAGACTGGAGGAAGGAAAGGTGCAGTACAATGCAACCACCTGGCAGGATGATGCTCGTAGGACAGTGATCACTACAGAGGAGGGGCCGGCGAGGTTTGACGAAACGACCAGCACAGGTCATGACTTTACAAGGGTTGTGAACACTGAAGTGGCGCAGAAACATGTTATTCGAATTATGACCCGTGGTACGGCGCACGAAAGAACCAATAGGGATTTTTGACGCAACTATACCTAAAACCACTCCTACCATGACCATGCAACCGCCCTGAATACGACAAGCAAGTAAAGCAGGGAGGGAGGTTAGACATGGCCACCAGAAACGATGTCATTAGTACCACGAGCATGCCAGGACAGCGCACACTGAAAAAAGGGACATATGATGCAACAACCAAGCGTGATGATCTTCCTGTCATGACCGCACAAGGGCACGGAGCACTACAGAAAGAGAGAGGGCGTTTCATGCAATAAGCGAGCATCAGGATGCGCGTAGAATGAACATACGGTTGATGGTACTAAATAAATACTAAGGAAGGCATAGGGGAGGTTCGATCAAAGCCACCAAGCATGATGTTGCCTGTGCTTTGGCCAAGCAAAAAAGAATGTGGGGAGTTAGCGCGATAAATTCAAGTACCCCATGAGGGAACATGTGAACTTATTAGCACATTCCCTCCCAGAGGCGTTCTTGTGGTTACCCGAACAAGCACCTCGCACTCGCACCAGGAGTGACCATTATGAAGGGAGTCGAGAGGTTGATGGCATGGGCTAGCAAGGTTTCACGCAACCGCAAGCAGGATGCTACAGAGCGAGTGAGTTGAGAGGTTTGATGCAAACACTCAGCGTGTTTACCCGCACCATGACCTTGCGCAGAAGGAAAAAGAACGCTTGATGCAAGCACTAGCACATGCTGTTCGTATCATGACCTTGCACGGGCAGTGAACACAACAGCAAAAATGGGGAGGTTCCATGCAAACACCATGCTCTTCACACCAGAACGATTCAAGGGCAGTGGACACGACAGAGGGAGCACGCAGGCTCCATGCAACCAGAGAGCATGGTGTTGGTCGCGCAGAGACAACACAAGGGTAGTGAACACTACAGAAGGACTTGGTTGTTGCACCAGGTCTGCCTCATTCTGTAGGAGGGAGAGATGCAACAACCAAGCATGATGATTTCCGTGTCATGACCAACTCAAGAAGATCTGACGATACCCTTACAAGATAACCTTGCATTTTAAGGGGGATGCAGCTTCTTCCAGGCAAAGAAAACTCCTGTTCATGAATTGGCCCATGCTTTTGTGATTTTGCTTGGTCACGGAGTTTTTTGGCCTACCATGGCCACTCAAGCCACTGTGAGCATTCCCTTGGGGGATGCGCCGAAGCCGTGCATCAGATGGCACATACATGGCACAGGGGCAGTACTGTGGTCGATCCGCAGTTTCTATGATTGCGTATTCGTGGACCAGAATCTGTGTCTCGGTTTGTTTCGGGAAGAGGTAAGTAAAGTGGCACTTCACACAGTTTATTTCCAATTTTGCCTTCCTGCCTGCCAATTAGGCGAGCGGATTTCGCTCATCCAAGCTTCATACGTAGGATTCTTTCAACGGAGATTTCTGTACAGACCATGGCTTCCCAATCAGAAGCTTTCAATGACTAAGCCTCATTCATGGGCAGGGAGGCAGGTTAGCACAAGCGCGCACTTCGTCTCCCTTACCGATCATGCTGGCTGTCACTGAAGGGATTTGTTATTGGAAGTCGTAGATCCCGAGATCCCCAAAAGTAGCACCCAAATCCCACAATTCCATAGCGGTATCTCAAAGCGGTATCAACTTTCTTTGACCAACAGGCGTACGCCCCACCTAAGAAGTAGGGAAGCTTGATATAACTTGATGCAACCACAGGCAGTGCTTCAAAGAAGGAAGGCGTTGTATGCAACAACCAAGCACAATGTTACCCGCACTATGAACACGCAGGGGTACAAAAGGAATCTGGAGGTTTGATGCAACAAACAAGCATGATGTGAGTCGTGGAATTACCAACCGAACATGATGTTATTCCTGCGAATTCTCTCGCTGAAAGAATCTCTGCCCTCTGCTCCGCCCAACACCTGTGGTTCACGTGAAAGAATCACCTTCGAACCTCCCCCTCTCCCTCCAAATCTGCAGTTTGAATCACGCGTGCCCATCACCCCACCCCCGCCCCGCCATGCTGCCATATATCACATGATTCGCCACGTTTTAAAATCCTGAATGTTACTACTGCTAGAGAAAGACTAAACTCAGGCGTGGCCCCGCTAGCTTTCGTGATAATCCAAGCATGTCCAAGGCTCTGCGTGCGGATTTTCAGGTCACTTGCCTGGCGCCCAACTGTCTCCACCTCAGCACACGACACATAGGTCCAGGGAGTACCGAAAGCTTAGCCTACACCAGAATCGTGGCTGAGGACAGGTAGGTCAGGGGCATCCTAAGTTGTACGGATAGCCCAAAACCGTAAAAAAAATCGCCAGGCCCGTCATTACCAAAACCGTACTGGGCTTTGCAGGGCTGAGATTGCCGCGTAGACTTGTGATGCAGCCTTGTCACGAATGTACCCGTGATGACGTTCAACAGTGCCAAGTAACCTCGATCCGTCCAACACTAATGTTTAAGTAGCATTAATAGAAGGGATGACAATAGCGTTTTGTTGCCAGCCGGGAAAAAGCCTGGACAATCCAATTTGCTTTCGAATAAGTTCGGAGCCCGAAAATCCAAATCGCAATAATAAAGTGACGGCAAAAATATTATTGTCCGGCCGGAAACGTCCCGATTTTAATAGATTCCCTTCTACTTGTCCTACTAGTATTACGAGCTGCACTACCTGATCCTACCAATGTCCGCGTCATTTATTATTGCGAGCCCCCCCTTCTGTAAGCCCAAATCGCAAAACAAGTTCTGGTGGGGGGGGGTTATTATTATTGTCACCTAAATATTACTTGGCCAGAGCTGGCTATCTGGCTACCTTCCGTGGCCAACGGTTCAAGGGCCACTGCAAGCAAGCTCTGACTGGAATCTGAGGAGAATTTTGGGCATGCTGTCCTTGGTTCCGCTAATCCGTGCTCCCACACCCCACCCTTTCTGGGCTCTCGCCGAAACACAATACTTAGCTGGCGCTCAAGAATGCCTATGATGAGGGATTGAAGGACACGAAACCCAGTTCCTGTGGTGTGCCTTCGTCAGAGCCGGGCAGTTGACCTAAAGACAGCGCGCATGCGCAAGTCAAGGGACAGACACCTGCCCCAGTCAAACAATGTCACAACCAGGGTACAGAATGCCAGGTACACCACGAAGAACACTGCCAGGGCAGGTGATACATGCCTGGGCATCAAATGGTGTCAGCATTTTACGGAATCACAAACCATTGACACCTGAGCAAGGTGGCGGCCTCTTTTTCCCAGTTTCTGGCATCAGGCTGTCTCTAAGAAGTGGCGGAACAAACGGAGACTGAATTGTCTTCATGCGGCCGGAAGAGTTGTCATTTAGCATTTTCTCTGAAGGCCTTCTGGTACTCTACCATTTGTTTGTGCTCCAGCTTTTCCTACATATCTGGCACTGAGGCACCGTCCAAACGCAACCCAAGCGGCTGCAAGATGGGCTGCAAAACATCATTCCAATCAACTCCTGAAGCTGAGACTGTTCTAGCTAGAAGTGTCAGGAATGGGCTGGCTGTTTGCCGCGATCTTCTGATGCTCAACAATGATATCTAATAGCCCAAATTACTGAATCCCAGGCTCTGGCCCCAGACTTATCCAAATAAATCACTTGGACTCGAGGCTCAGCCCAACGAATCCGTGAATAAAATTGAGAATCCGGAGCTGACCCTACACATCCCTACATGATGCCCGTACAGCTCGCCACGAGAAAACTTGCCGCAGTTTGCCGCGAATGGTGGCACCGTGCCATGCAACAGAACACACCTCGCCAAAAACTCTTTTGTGCCCTGTTATGCCGACCTGACGGTCGTCCCTATTGCGACCTGACGGTCACGAACGGTCATCTCTACTCTATTGCGACGTGGCGGTCGGTCTATCTTTTGAAGTGTCGGTCGTCCAAATAGTGAGATCGTGGCACCCCACCCTTCGAGACACGAGAAGAACACTGGCTAAAACAATCTTCAGCTAGGCCGCTGGAGTTCTGTCTGGGCAGCAACAAGGGCCACTCGCATGCTCTTTGGCTGTAGCTTGCTAGAGCTGTCGCGCACAGGGCTGTTTTGTTTGGAAGAACCCGAAGATGCTACATGTGGTTCAAGCTGGCAGCACGTTTTCCTCTTGCATCACTGGCACCCAATCGGGAAAAGTCAACGCTTTTTTGTACTGTTACAAATTCCTCAAACCTGTCCGCCGACAACATGGGGCAACACGAAGATTTCCTTGATTAGCTGGTTCAGCTTTGGAAGGCTGCGAGGGAGACCCTTTCAGGACCCGTCCTCCGCTGAGAGCTTGGAACACGGAGAGCATGCCTTCAGGATGAAATCATTTGGGCTCGTGCAGTTTAAAGGCTAGATTGCAACCATGCATTCCACCAGGTCTCAGGTTTGGGGTTGGGTTTGCAAGGTACACTTCGACTCAGGTCAGGGTGGTCACCCTAAGGCCCTAAGGCCTTGTCTGTGCGTCACGAACAACAGACATGGGATAGGAGAGCTGGCCAATCTACTCTCCAAGCTCATGATGGAGGAAGTTCAAATTTGTCCTAGCTTTGCCCTTGAATGACCATGACCCCCCCAAAGCCTGCAATAGCACTTACACCAATTGCAAGGTCTCATCTTTGCCAAGCAGCACTTGGGCTCATCCATATGGATCTCTGCTTCAGTGGTAACCGAGCCAGCAATGAAAGATAGCTGCCAAAGTCGTGAGTTGTAACGCGTGGGTTTTCTAGCTGATGTGAAGCTTCGTCTCAACTCCGCCAAGGCACTAGTGAAGATGTCACCCCACCACTGCCTAGCTGTCCAGCAAGCACAGTGCTAATTTCCAGTTTGTAGCTGCGAAGCCAGGTCATTGATGCGGCACTGCAACTGCTCTGCAGAAGCAACGGACAAAGGAATGTGGGGTTGCTGCATCTATGCGTGATCCTGAAACTCGCACCTGTGCCTTGTGTGTACATGCGACGTGGAATGACGTGGAGAGGAATGGGGTCTCTTTGCTGGAAAATTGTGGCTGTGGACGAGAGCTCTGAAAATGTACTACCTTTCTTCAGAAATCTTCACTGCACCATCTCGACTGGCGACACCCTGGCTTGCAAATCCAATTGCGGTTGCAGCATCAGACGCGCTGCATGGTTCGCCGTCGACGATGCAAAAACTCTGTCCCTCGAGGGTTGTTCTACAGCGACGGAGTGGCAGTGTCCTGTCGCTGTGGTTTCAATATGATTTCATGGCAAGTTTAGCGTCGAAAAGCCATTCGGCTTGCGGTCACGAAAGTGCACAGCGGGCTTGGACATAGATGCAATGGGTATCGTATGCCCTCGTGAATGAAAGCTTTTAGACTCACTCGAGCATGAACGTTCCTTTGTCTTAGGCATGGATTTAGGGATATCGTGCGCGCTCGAGCTCGAACCTAATTACCGTAGCAGGATGTATCAGGCATTGATGCTCTGATAATTGGAACATGAATGTGATCACGTTTTTGGCCTAGATTTTCCCTTGATCGGGTGCACTCAAACACGATCATCTTGTGATTTGCACATGGATGCGCTGGTAATCGGATGCAGTCGAAAAGGAACGTTACTATGGTTTGTGCATGGATTCTTTGGGCATCGCGCATTGCCCGGAATGAACGTTGTAATGATTTGGGCACAGCTGCTCTGGTAATCGGATGCACTCGAACATGAACGCTTTGTGGTCTGTGCATGCGTGCTCCGGAAATAAGATGCAGTCCAACATGAACGTCATCTTTGTTTGAGCACGGGTGAAGGAAACACAGCGCCAAGAAATGCCAAGAAGGACAGGCTCTGCCATGAAAGCTGGTGGCAACCCTTAGAACTTCGACATGCTGAGATGTTCCGCCCTTGCCAAACGCTTGTTGTGGGTGGCCTTGACGCACAAGTGATAGACCGCTAACACCCCCCCTCCCCCGGCCATGAAGGTTTTGCGTCTCGAGAGGGCGGCCCTAAAGTGTGTCCTGATCCCAAACCCTCATACAGCCCGGAACTGAGCTAACTCACATGAACCTCGTTAACGATAAGAAGAGGAGCACAAAGTCGATGATATCATATATCGGCGATACCACAAATGGGAGCTCTAAACCGATTTGATACGAGCACCTCTTTTCTAGCACGATGAAAAACAGCGGGAGCAAGATTGTACCAGCTCAATCCAAGTACAGGCGCATTCATGAAACATCGGTGCTTGATGGCCTTTGCCTGGAAACTGTTACGTACTTGCCCGTGCCACTCGTCGGTTCTACGGTTTTGTGCAGCAATGTTGAGGGTCCGGCTCAGATTCGTCAAGAAACGGCGGAGGTGCCTTTTGTATCCTAATGTTGGCTCCTATTTCGGAATTAACAAATCCAGCATTTGGAGCTTCTCAAAGGCTGCAGAACATGTAAACTACAGCATGTGTTGGAATTCCTTGAAAGCTGCAAGTGCTGGGCAAATACTGTACGGGGCAGCATTTGCAGCGCTGTAAAGCTTGCAGCCTGCTGAGGTCTGCAAAATAATATCGCTCTGGGTCCTGTAAGTCATGCTCTTTCTTTAGGGCTCTATTTTTGACTTCACAATTCATAGTTTTTGATTGATTCGACTCTGGTGCTTTGTAATTCGTTTTCTGTGTAGTAAAACAGCGCATACTGCTGGCAGCAACTAGACCTTGAACCTTCACATGTCCATGCGTGCGCCATGACAATATATCTTTTCTGATGGTCTGAAGGAACATCACTTCAAGCATGAACACATGCCTGCAGAACATCCGTCCAGTGCTGCAAATGTCGTTGGGTGGATAATCCAGTAGAATCAATGCAATTATTATCTGCGCGCAGCATGGATGCTCTGGGAAGTGGATGCCCCACTTACATGAACGTCACTGTCTGAGCCCGCATGGATGCAACAGCGATTCGCTCAGATCATTACTCAATGCTCTCTTCTCCTTCCGTCACCATGATACCTGGGACCTTCGTTAGGACAGCAGCGCCAAGACTTGCCCTCCAAGGGCCTCCGGCCACGCTGACACAATTTAGCCACCTGGCACCGCACGGCCAGGTACTTCTTGGCACCCGGTATGGGAGGGGACACATGCGCGTACGGTGGCCATTCTGCCACCCAGGCATGCAAACAGCTCGCGCTGCGTTGATTTCTAATTTTGAAATGAAACATCGCGATAGGGACTCTCGGCAGTTGTCCAACTACAGGTTGCTCTGACAAATGGGTTTTAATTTTAACGTAAGGAATCGAGCCTGAAAATTTGCAGTTTTCTCACGACCCACCGATTGAACATATGAATATGAACTGTGTTGCCACATGTTACCAACAACCCTGCCAATTTGAAAGCACGCATCTCCCCATTGAAGATCCTGCAAAATACCATAGTCAGGGGCCAAGGCAGCAGGTGAGCCACCTGGAAAGGAGGAAGGAATTGCTAAAGTCTTCAGGACAAAAATCGAAATCAAGGGATGTCAAAGGTGGCGAAGGTCGCCTGCCGAAGCTTCTTTTGCAACCCCTACGCTGTCATTGAACTTGGGGATTCAACGGTCCCAGCAGCTGTGAAGCAAGGCCTCGTTGCTAGATTACCTGGCTTCTAAGGGGAATTTGTGCCGAAAGAGATATTCTTTGCCTGTAAGGTGTTTAGACAGCTTGGCGAGGAGTGCTGGCTTTTGTTTGTTACAGTTGATATACGGCCGTTTCACCTTGCGTTGCGATGTCTCAACCCAGAGTCGATTTGTGAGGTTGAGTTGTCCACAGTGGATTTTCTTCAGCCCAAGTGCTTCAGTAAGTCGTTGCCATCCGCATCTGGATTCTCAAAGCGCCGAAGATTGCAAGCTTGAGTAACGTAAATTGCCATGACCTCAGTGCGGCTTGAGCAACATGTTAATGCGTGGACTTTAGCGTTGCCAGTGCAAATGCATTAGCTGGGAAGTGCATTTTGCAGCTGTTAAGAGCGAAAGTAACACGACCTGCCAAGAGACTAATATTGCCACACAGCAGCTACATTTCACACATGACAATCTGCCATCTAAGGCAGTGAGTTGCAGGGATGGGCTTCGGCACAAGCTGCTAAAAATCTCATAAATCGCACCGTTGACAGATGGCTATTAATCAAACCACGTGGCCAGCGTTAATGTGACTATGCTGTCTGATCCGGAAGGTCTGGATCGATTTGTTAGCACAGCATAGTCTTCTTTACGATGGTATGGAACGGAGGGGTCTGGAACGGAATTCGGGGACTTATTCCGGACCTCTGGATCAGGGATCGGCATGTCCGCTTCGCCTTGTTCCGGACCGATCATATTGAGCGGTAGTCAACTGTAATTACTTTGATCAGACTTTAGCTGCGAGAAATGTAGATAGAGGTGCTACATGATTACGCCTGTGGCCAAACTCTGCACCTGATTCATGTGTCAGGGGGCCCAGCCCTTTGATATCCCTGCTCTACTACTACGCATAGATCGTTACAGCATCTAAGCGGACAAAAGCGAAGAAGTTGCTCAAAGTTCCGGACGTAAATTGTCATCACCAACAGGAGGACGCTCCACAGAAAGGTGCGCAAGGACAAGATCAGGCAGCTGACCTCATGTTGATGCAAGTCTGAGTCTGAGAGGCACAGGCATGCAAGAGCAGGGCTTGAAGAAGATTTCGAACGTGCGGCCCCAGTCGCGATGAGCTGAAGGTCCCTCGCATATCGGACAGCCCGCACCAATCGCAGAACCTGCTGGGTGTGGGAAGTAACGACAGGCCACATGTGACTAAATGCAACATGACTAATTTGAAGCCACTGTCCACAGTCTGGTGCCCAGCACTTGCCCACAAGCCCGATATTGTCTCGCAGGGCCCTGCTCCTCTCCGAATTGTGGCATTTGTCTGCCTTCACACCACGCATCATACGGACAGCACCTGGATCGAGAATCGAGACTACAATGTGCTGATGCATTAGCTTAGGAGCGAAGACGAGTACCTCAAACATCCTTGCAACTGCACAAGTGGCACGGAGCCAGCGAAGCAAAAAATTGTGAAGTCAGGCCGCGCATGACGCTCGTGTTTTGGTAGGAGGGATCCAGCCTGTCTGCCTCAGGTCAACACTGTGAATTGACTCAAGTGACGCGGCCGGACTCCTAAGGATCCTTCGTTCGAGTGGAGGCGATTAACGGCAGCCTTCTCGGCCGTTTGGACGGCTTGGAGTCTTGCTTTCTGGACCCATCTGCTGTTGCCCGGGCAACCCTTCACAGCATCACCTGTGCTACAGTACTTATTGCATGGTCCAATCTGAGTACTGATACTAACTGGCTGCTTCCGGCAAAAATGTGGATATGTAACGTATATTAACTGTACCGTTCACGGACATGATCTAGAACTCAGAGGTGAATCCGGAGGCGAGTTGCAGTCAAAGGTAAGGTTTCTGTGTAAAGCAACGCGGCATGTATGATAAATGTTGAGGACACAGACCTGCGAGAGTTTCCGAAATGGCATTCCCACACAGAGACCCGACAAACAGCCTTGACGGGCGACCAAATCCATGCAAATCTCAAGAGGTCCACTACAACTCGAAAGCTGCGGATAAAAGGGGTGATTGTGCTTCTGAGATACTTGAGAGCAATTACGAAACTTGGAGTCCTCATCTTAAAGCAGGCTCGCAGCCATGCACGTCCGTCATCTGACAGATGATAGTCTCACTGCTGGACTTGAATGAGACTCCAGGGTACAGCAATCGCCAACACTTCCTCGATGATCTGCAGGATTGCGAGAACGAGGTCTATAATGTTCCACCTCGTCTCAGTACTTATCGAGGCTCAAAAGCTGGTGGCATTTCAAGGAACCGTGATGATCACTCGCACAGCCTATGCTTGACCTCCTCTCAAAGACGACCCATGTCCCATGTCCACACTGGTAGAGCACTGCTGACCAGTGCATGTCGACCTCCTCGTGAAGTTGTGCAGCTTAGGTCAGAGATTTAATACATGAAGCAAGGATGCCCGCGCAAGAATGCCTGCGCATGGATGCATCAGACTCATCAGACCATCAGCACAGAGTAGCTACTGCTACTGCAAAGCCTTGAATACTTCAGAAACGTGGGAAAGAGAAATTGAACCCAAGTGCAGGCGAGCTTCGCACACGCGTGCATGGTGAAGAAACGGATCCTGGGCATCAAGAAGCATGTTGATCTCGCTCTCATGCGAATGCATGCGCGGCAGCGCTTCTTTTAGGCACTTTCATCAGCCTCACCACCCGTTTTCACAGCAATTCTAGACACCGAGGCGCCGGTAAACATACAGCTTCAGAGCGACCTGCATGTTTCTGAGATCGCTGGGAACGTTCAACATCAACAGTGGTTGCCACGGAGCACTTGAGCAATGCAGCATGCAAGGGCCTGTTCCGCTGGGATCATTGCTCAGTCTGGACATGTCTGAACTGCAGTGACTCTTGTGGTGTCTACACACTGGGATGAGGTGGCTCACAGCATCAAGTGGACTACGATGCCCATGGTCGAAGATGGCCTCACTGGCAAACAAGACGCAGAAGAAGAAGTCAACCGACCGCCAGAATCTGCCAGCCCGCAGCCAATTGAACAATTGGAGAAAGTGTCATAGGCACATGCTCTGGCTGTAGAAATGGATCTCTTGGGCATCATGCAATCTTCTGGTTCCACTCATGCAAGCTAACAGCTAACAGCATTTAGCTGTCCCCTGGACTGGCCTCCCTCCATCAGTTCGCTCTGTTGCAGCCAAATGGTTGATTTGAGCACCTTAGGGAGAAATCCGCTGGCCGGAGGCCTGGGGCGTTTAGATCCTGGTTTGGAGACTAGGAGATTGAAAAATCATCTAGGGATGCACGAGGATGCTCAACCGGTGACTGTACGAGACAACTCATGCAAGAAAGGATGTCTGCTGAAGTTGGGGGTTCATGCAGGCCATAACTCGAGCAGCTTTAGCCTGACTGCTGGGCCAACACGTTCTCTTTCTGGCCTCGATCCTTGATTACATCCTGACAACAAGGAAACCCTTGAGATTCACCACTGCATTTTTTGCGGTTGTGAGAGCCATATATTGATACACAGAAAATCACAGAAACAATAGTCGCGGGTCCAACAACCAATACCGAAGTCTTCCCATCTGGGCCAAGGGACCATACTTAAATTGCTAGAGTCTATATCCATCAGGGAATCATGGACTCTCTCAGCTTGGAGACCTATGGACAGGGTATGGACGAGGATCATGGCCATGATGAAGCAGTCAAACCTTGCCCAGTCATGAGAAGGGGTCAAGGCGTAGGAGTTGACGGGCGCTGCAGTGTTCGCCACGGTCCAAAAACAGTACTAGGGTTGGGAGTTGCCAAAAAAGCCGGGATTGCGATGTCAGCAATTGTAAAGTTCTTCAAAATTGTGCAAGTCCCTGTTGCGCACGTGCTGTGCTCAGCGTCAGAATGCAAACAAAGTGCTCTAATTTCCGAACAAGCCCTGATGCCATGCCGAAGCCGATTGAGCTCAATGCAAGCATTTGGTCCTGAAATGAAGTCTGGTTATGGCCCATAATTCACTGCATTCAGGAAATCTGTTCACTCTGCTTCGGAAAAAGATTGCCGAAATTAGTTGCTTTGCCCCGCGTTCGGTGCCGATACATTATCATACCTTGCTAAGACCTTGTCCACAGACCTAGTCCGTGTGATCGCTGGCCCGGGATGTTTCAATGTCATGGGCAGACAAGAAGCCAAAAATTCTGGACCAGCCGGCGGAGCCTGCGCCGACCCAAACCTTGCCGGTGGTTAGTTGTAAGTCGCTGGATATTACCCCAACGTTGCATATGTAGAGGCGTACCCCTAACTCAAACAAGTTCTATACCTTCTTTCCTGCGCCGGGAGGCTATGAGTGGAAGGACCCGCCTTAGGTGAGTTGATCAACACGTGCTTCTGCAGGCATTACTGGCTTGTGCTGGCGATTTTTTGCGATCCTACGAAAATCTGCTCGCCATGGAAACAACTTTCAGTGCCAAGGTACTGCATCGCCTGCTTGCGGTGTCATGCCAAAGATATGGTCGGCAAAGTTTCCTTCACGCTGCTAATTCTAGGTGCTGTCGGATCCTCTGCAACGCGCTCTCATGGGCGTACCTCTATCTTGTTTCAGGCGGCCAGGCGCCTGCCATCCTGGGCTAACTCTATCTTCAGCCCCCTGCAGTCCTGTTCTCGATCTGCTCTTGTGTGCTGACACAAAAGCCTTCTCACCTGCCACAGGGGTTCATACAGCTGCGCCAGAATTAGTGGACAGCTGTCTGCTACATCTGTACACGCACTATCACTACCGTCGCTACCTAATGTCGTCTGTCGCATCAGTCGCACCAGCTAGTGGGTCAGAGTAACTCCTCGCCACAAAAGCCCCGCGAGACTGTCTTCTCCCCTCAAACTGCTCGCGCTCGTCCAGGTGTCCAGCAACTGTACTGGACTTACGTCCGTCGGCACTGACTTCCACCAAAGAGATCTTTGTCTGACACCTTTCCTGATTCATTTGTATGCTGACGTTCTGCTTGGTATCCGTCGTGCTTGTTGCTTCAAGTGAACAGACGCCAACTGTAGTCAACCAAGCGTTCTTCCAATTCTTCTGTGAAGCATTGCATAATCGCGCGGAGCGTGCGATAAGTCGTGCACAATCTCGGCTCACACACTGCCATCAAATTTATGGTTCTATTCATCAGCTTCAAGATGGGGGGAGGGGGGGGGGCGACTGTCGAGTTTGAAGAGGAAACAAGTGCACCTCATGTGCGCCGTCAGTTGACAGAGGATAGTTTGCTTGCTCGTTCCAACATGCACAATCGGCGTCTTCAACTGCGGTGACATGCTTTGCCGCCCATGCATGGTTGTCTATCCGCCAGCTGGCAGATGCCAAATAAGCATCAATCGCCTGAAGAAGCATCAGCGTTACTTTCTGAAATCTGTGTGTTGGTTCAACGGAAGGGGGACATGGCAGAGGGTCGTTGCAATCATGCCCCGCATGGCATTTCTCCACTTTTAATGAAAGTTGCTGCTGGCGGCTCAAGGAATGCTTGCTTCTGTGGATCTGACATTGGCAGCCAAGCGAGCACGAAGAAGCAACCAAAAAACAGCACTCACATGGCTTCGTATGCAATGACTAATGCAAATGCTTCCTTTTTACTCACGGTGGATTAATGGCACCTGGAATCCTTGGATCCTGATAGCTTGTTGAGACTTGCTCCAGATGCGTCTCCCGGCGACCTGTTTTACTCCTGCTTTTGAGATGCACATCCTATGCCTTGCGTGTTTTCATGAACTTGGCATGAGACTTCAGCTCTATGCACGCGAGGATGATCCTAGCACGAACTCCAGCGACGAATGCACAACAGCAGCATACAGCAGAGATGAAAGTTGTTGCAAAAGGTTCTCAAGTACAATGAAGGTTACAAGTCAATGATGTAAGCCGGATATTCCTAATCTGAAGTCCACACTCCAAAAGGCTCTAACATGATGAACATGGACATTCAGTTTTACATGCGGCCTCTCTTGTTGCATTGCTGTGAGACTGACCTCAGGATTGCCTCAAACAGCACATCACCTGCTGAGAACAACGTCCGAGCCTTGCAATGGTGGCGTAGAATCTTCTGAGTTCAGTGCCTTGAGCGGGGCTCACACTGCACATGCACGCCGTAGCGGGCAGCCAAGGGTGGACTTAGCCTTTTCAACAAGACCTTTTGACATCTTGAAATACAGTGCCTTTCCTACTTCCCGCCTGCACCAGAGTCGGCTTGTCTGCACTGCCGGCACTGCCTGTCAAGCGAAGCAAGGAAGCCTTTGGGATCAAGATGAGTTCGATTTCTAGAAACGTCAAGAGGCACCTGCACAGGCAAATTCATCCATCACGTTATAATGATCTCACCGCAGTGCTTCTGCTAAACAACTTGCTACTGACGGGGTATTGTGGGAGTCGGCACGGGGGACCCCTTGGTTGCATTTCTGAGCCGGGCTTCGTCGCTGGAACCCACCGAAGTTTACATTCTAAGGCTCTGCAGGCAACTCCGACAAGACACCCCTCATGCTCCCCCCGAGTTACATGTCGGATCCACTTTTCCATTTCTATTCAATCTCCTTCTATCTTGTTGGTAGGCTTGTCTAACCAAAAAACAATGCTCTATTCATCTATCTTCGCTCTTGGCGAGGATACGGGTACATGTATAAAAGCGGTATGGCTGTTCCATATGAAGGCCAAAGGACAGCTACCCAAGGGGTGAAGGCACATTAGAACGCTAAACCCTGCAAAGCCTAAAATCCCTTAACACTAAAAGCCTTTAAGCTCTGCAACCCCAATGAACCTGCAAACCCCCAAATCCTACAAACCTAAAGCCCTCAGCCCTAAGCCATCTGAACCCTAAAATGCCAGAAACCCAACAAGCCTAAACCGCAAGAATCAAACCACCAAAAATACCCTGAACCCGAAAGCCGATACAACATCCGTAGATCCTAAACACTCTAGATCCTAAAAAATCAAAACATTGAGACCCTAACCTAAAAAACCCTTAACCCCAACTCCCCAAACCCCTAAGACACCCAAACCCTGATCTCAAGCCTGCAAACCATACAGACCCTAAACCCTGAAAACCCTACAAATCCTAACTTTTACGCAAAAACATAAACCCAAAAGCAGACCTGAAGCTGCGAACTCTGAGAATCCTCAAACCCCTACACCCTACAACCCTTTAACCGCAAAAGCCCTCAATCCTGAAAACCCTAGACCCTAAAGACCCTAAACTCCATGACTGCTAAACACTAGCTACCCTGAATACTTTGAACCTACAGAGACTTAGCCTCTCGCACCCCCCCAAGCCTCTCGTACCCCCCCAAAGCCCCCTAACCCCTACAAACGAAACCGAATGTCCCCTAAACACTTGAAAACGTAAAGCCTAACCTCTAAGAACACTAAACACTCAAATAACCCTCGAAAACCCTAAAAACGATGAAAGGGTGGCAGAGTTTAGGGATTTGCATGTCTAGCGTGTTTAGTGTTTGCAGGCTTTAGGGTCTACGTCTTCCAGCCTTTCGGGGCTTCAGGGCTTGCGGTCAGTGATAATTCAGGTTTGGGGGGTCTTACAGCTTACGGGTTGGGGGGGAGCTATTTTGGGTTTATGGTGTTTTAGGCTCAAGGAGCTTCAATGTTTAGAAAGGTGTTCTGACTTTTTAGTTTTCGGGTGTTTAGCGTCTAGGGATTCTAGGGTTGTTTGGGTTTCCGGTGTTTTAGTTGTGGCTTCGGGATGAAGGGTTGGGGGGCTCAGTAGGGTTTAGGGCTTCAGCGTTTGGGGTGTTTTAGCATTTAGGGGGATAAGGCCTCACCATCGAAAGTATCGGAAGCCGACGTGTCTGAGCCGCTATCCAAAACTGACATGCGAACAACATGGAAATGTATTGAGGGGGGTCGGGAAGTTGACCCCCTTCCTTACCCCTACGTGTCCCCTACATAAGGACGTTCAAAAGCTAACCACAGGAAAATGCCACCAAGGGGGGGGCTACCCCTCGCTCGAAGCTCGCATGCTTCTGAGGTTAGGTAATGAAGCCCCCATCTTCAAGGTACATTTTTATAATGGTTTCTTAACCACGAACAAAACAAGAATGTTGGCCCTCACGCACGGCCAGTTGGAGATACCATGCCCACTCGTGCAGCCCCCGAAGAAACCCCAATTCCAGGAAACCCTGCGGACATGTGCGGACTACTGTTAACAAAAGGCCAAGAATATTTTGAGGGTTTGTGTTTAATTAGACTTGAAGTCACTTTAATCTGATTTTAACTCATCCTAGCACCGGATTAATTTGGGGGGGATCCTCCCCGCCAGAATAAGAAATGGAGGGCGCCAGATTAAAAGAATGATTGGGGCTCCTGGACTTCAATTAAAAAAGAATAGGAATGCATTCCCCACGTCATCCGGGCTCTTGGACCTCTACTAATTAAGAAATGAATAGGAATGCATTGAATATCTCGATTTTCAGGATTGGTCCCCCAGAAATGTTTTCTAAATCTGGTCCCTCTTTCCCATACGAAAAGCCACCTAATTATAGCTAGTCTTTGGCGGCTAATTTTACCCCAACAAAATTCATTGAATATGGTCCCTTTTATTAATCTAGTGCTGGGATTAAGTGTCAATTGATTCCATGTTGATCTTTAATAGTTTGCGCGTGATTTTTCATTTGACTACAACTTTAAACCAGCTGTTTATTTGAATCTAACATACTTAAAATTTAATGCGATGTTTGGTAGATGTTAATTGTTAGATTTTAAACCGTTGTTTTGAATTGGATTTGAACTAGATTTTAGATAGATGCTGAGAGGTTTCGTTACGATTTCAAATCGGTTCTACTTCAGTCCGCATGGGTTTGTTGTTTGCATTTGTTTGCCGTAGCTTGAATTAGATTTCTCTGCTTCACCTTCTTCAGCAGTACAATCTAATGCAAGCATGCGCACCAGCAAACAAACCAGGAACCACCGCAAGCACAGCAACACACCCCACTGCAGGTTCCTCCATCTTAGTCAACAACAAGAAGTTGCAGATCTCATGTCGGCGAAGTAAACTGTTGACACGATTCAGACATTAAGCTCATCAGGTTGATCGATCACAGGCATGCACCCAGGCACAAGTAATCGCATGTACTCTGCTATTACACACAGAAAACCCAAGACTGTGTCGGTCTTGCTTGTTGCCCTGGGTGTGCCACTCCTTGGAAACACACGAACGAAATGTCAACAATTGCAGCTGACTGTTACAAACAACGTCATTAGCACGGTCCTGCAGAAAATGACAAATGGCGTGTCGCCCTCTCTCAGTTGCTGCGAAACATCCAGTTGCATTACGCTCCAAAGCCTTCAGCTGGTTCCTCTGCGGGTGCGACTGCATTTTTTGCGTGGCCTGCGGGATGAACATGCGCCCGTCTTTGCAGTGTCTAGATTGATCCGACTGCTTGGGCAATCAACTGTGCATGCAGTGTGCATTCGACAGTCACTGCTCGGTACAGTACTAGTTGCATTTGACTGACTGGCCGGCTCCATGCCACAGGTCGGCGAAGGATTCTTGCATCTCCTGGCAGGTTTGCGCAGTGAAAGCTGAAGAACTAGAAGCATTGAAGGGTTTGGCAAGAAGCTGGACCCCCAGCTAAGCTGCTGCAATCCGTTGCACAATTTCAAGGGGCTGGGCTGAATGGCGGGGTCAGCTTCAGCTTCTCTCCTGGATCAGCTTGGAGGTCTGGTGTGTCTGCACATGCCTCTCTGTCCACGCGTGGGGCACGTACCTGCAGTTCCCAATCGAGCAGTCCGTAACCATTGTACTCATGATCATTACACCACAGCGACCAGCTGCACTCTCGTCTGATGCAACCTGCCTGAACCTGCCATGATTCCGTGCTTGCACTCTGCTGCCGCAACAGATTCGGCAGAACACTCTGCAAGGACCTCATATCAAGAAGTTCTGCTGTGGCATGCCAAGTGACGTGCTTTTCGGCTTTGGCGTGCTCGCATCATCACCCGTCTCTGCCCAGGCCACGAGCGACTGAAGGGGGCTTACAGCAGAACATTAAGCAGCTTAGATGCACTACCAGCATGCGCGCACAAAAGTGACAGTTGTTGAAGGAGCGGGGAAGGGGCGGAGAAAAAAGGATTCAATATCATTCAATAGTGAAGGGGGCCACGAGAGCGGCTACATAAGCCACAGTCTACGGAAAATTCCGGATTGTACGCACGAGCTCTATGATTTCGTCTAGCCTAGCTCACTTGGTACTAGCGAGTGAACTAAAGCAAAGGTTTCATCGCAGGCTCCATATCATCATTTCCTTTAGGCTAATACATGATTCACCTTATCCTAATGGTAAAATAGCAGCTTTCTTCACAATCTTCTGACAAGTCCTCACAGCTTACCCGCTCATTGCAGCTGCTAGAGGAAAAGTAGCATTTTACAGGAAACTCCTGTATCACTTCTATTAAGCCAGAGGAGGAGTTCTTATAAGCCCTTAAGACTCCTATTGCAGCCCATAAGAAAACCCAATAGCTAAAAACCGTAGCTCCTAAGGAATTTGCCAATGGCTAGAACAACATCCATTACTGACAACCACGAGGAGGGAACGGAGTGAACAAAGTGAGTGAAATAAGTTAATGAAT